CCTCCTGCGCTCCACTCGCCTGCAGCCACCCCATGCTGCTGGGGGAGAGATGGGGGTGCGTGGGGCTGGTCACCCGCTTTTGGGTCCCAAGTGGGTGCCATGGGGTCTCTGCGCATGCCCTGCCTGTCTCAGCCCTGTCCATTGCTGTCCTCAGGAGTACCCCTGCCCACAGCCCTTCCGCTGGTGTCTCCCGTTACCTCTGTTAATGACTGATGGCAAAAATGCCGGGTCATCGCTCTGGACCCTGTTTGTGCTGGGGGACGGGTCCCTGGGGGTTAAAGCTTCTTCTTGTCTCCTTTCCCCTGGGTGCCCGGCTGCGGTGTCCCGTGGCGGGGTGGGAAGGACCTTCGCAGGGAGCAAAGTGATGCCACGCAGCCTCGCTGGCCCCGTCACTGTCCTCGTTCCCAGTGCGCAGGTGCGGTGCCAGCCCGAGGCGCCCCGGGGCTCATCATTGCCTTTGCAGAGCAGTGAGTCAGAGGCACTGCCGGGGAGCATCCCCCGCTTTGCACAGCCCCGAGCAGCTCTGCCTCCGTGCACGGGGCACTCATGCCCAAGCCCGTTCCTCCCCAGCACGCTGCCCTCGGAGGGACCCCACTGTCCCCTGTGGCCGTAGCGACAGAGCCAGCACAGGCAGAGGTGACTGTGGTGTTTCTTCTCCCGTGGGTGCTTCGGGTGGCACTGCCCCTTCCCTGCCCTTTCCCTTCCCAGCCACAAGCAGCTTTGGTGGGTCTGCTGACGCCCGGCTGGAGGCTGCCTGGCTCAATTACATGGATGCCTGGGATGGGGGAAAGGCTTTGCTTTTTGCTAATTAGCCAGACAAACAGGCCTGGACCATCTCTCCACACCCCTGAGGCAGGGCAGAAGCAGGCTGGCTGCTGCCGGACAACGTGATCTAATCGGGCAGCGTCTGCAGCGGTGATTGATGGGGAGGGAGAGGCGCTGGTGCCTTCACCTGCGTCCGGGGCAGACGGTAGCGTCCCCGCTGTCCCGCAGCATCCAGACCCCACGGGATGCAGGTTTCTCTGCAGCCCCAGCGGGTTGGAGGCTCTCCAGGGGCAGCCCCGCACCCTCCGCATACGGCTCCTTCCCCGGGGCTGCCTCCCGCTCCCACCAGACCTCCCTGCAGACGGCTCCTTCCTCCCGCTCCCACCTCTCCCATTCTCGCCCTGCCATTATTTGCCTCCATAATTAGTTTATTGATCTCCACCGAGGGTACCCGGGCTGGGCTGCAGTGAAAGCTGCTGCACACATTCCCTGTGAATCATTATCACTAAACCCCTGACGCTAATGAGCCTTTGGCAACCACAGACCGAAATCTCCGCTCCTGCCTGTGTCTCTCCCCGCTGTGCCTGGCTTGTTGGAGGGTTGTGCACATTAAATCGGGACTTAACAGTACTCTGCATTTGGCAGCCAGGCTTCCTCCACCAGCTTGAAATGTCAGGGTTAGTTACAGCACGCACCGATCCGCTGGTACTCGCATCCTCTCCTGTTCAAAGCAGCCACGGGTTGTAGCTCAGTGCTGGTGGGACTCTGCGCTCCCCTAGCCTTGCACTGCATCCATCATGTCTCTCACGGCGAGCCTAAAGCCAGCGGAGAAGCGTAAAGCTGTCACTTCGTGCCCTGTGACTAATAGGTGCCATTAGCTCGTGGGATGGAGATGGCGTGCCCTTGCCTGGCCCTGCCTGGGGCTGCCTGCGGTGCTGTGCTGCTCCTGTGCCCTGTCCTCTGAGATGTCTCTGGATGTCCTCGTTCCCTTGGCTTGGCAGCCGCCTTGACGCGGGTCCAGGCTGGCTCCGTCCACTGCCCCAGCTTGACACAGACGGATTTGGGTTGGGAAAGAGCCCGGCCATGAGCCCAGCCTGCGCAAAGGGGACACAGGGTGGGAAAAGAGGGACCCCACTTGCCGTGCCCGGCGAGAGGCACATCTGGGGCATTTCCAAACCTGCCTCAGCCTGCGGTGCCCCAGGCCATCGCTGTGCTGGGATGTGTCTCTCTGCACCTTCTGCCTTCCACAGCTACCCCAGACATCGCTAAGGAGTTTTATTGCAAAAAAACAAAGGGATTTGGGTCCTGGCTGCCCGGCGGCCCCAGGGCTCCCTGGAGCGGGGACTGCGGTGCTGCTCCTTGCAGCGTCTCACGCGCCTTTAATGAGAGAGATTGCACAAGAATTTGTGTCCCTTTTGTTGTTTAAAATGCATTTTAGGGACTCCAGGTAATGCATGGTTGCGACCTCCGGTCTCATCCTTCCCGCTGCTGCTACAGGCAGGGGCCACGCAGGAGCTGCCTTTGTGTCCCTTTTGTTGTTTAAAATGCATTTTAGGGACTCCAGGTAATGCATGGTTGCGACCTCCGGCCTCATCCTTCCCCAGCCCTCCCTGGCTCTGCCTTTGCCTGCCTGCCCGCACCGGGGTGCAGCGGGAGGGGTGGCTGCCCGTCTGCCCGGCGTGGGGAAGGGGCTGGACTGGACCCTGTCCCCGTCCCTCGCCAGGGCTGAGCTGCGGAGGACAGACAGGACCGTGCAGGCAGGTGGGAGGAGGAGCGGCTGGTGCGGGGACAGCCCTGTTATCCTGGGGAAGGTGACGTGGAGGTGTCCCTGCAGGCAGAAATGACACCGGGGAAGGGGTGGGGGGTGAGTTGATTTTGCTGATGCTTCTGCACGGGAGCCTCACTGCCATCACAACTGTCCCTAGTGCCCGGGGCTACCCACACATCCCCAGGCAGGGACATCCCTGCCAGCCACCCCCAGACCATGGCAGCGTGCAGGGCTCCCGTGTCAGTGGTGTCCCCATGGCTGGCCCCTGCCGGCTCACCAGCTGTCCCCAGCCCTGCCAGCCCCTCTGTCACGGTTGGCCAGGGAACCCCGGGGCAGCTGAGGGAAGCTCTGTTTGCTCTGTCCCCACGTCCCTCCCAGCTGGCACTTCACACTGCATCTGCCTTGTTATGGGAGCTAATGAAGGATGCGGGCAATTACAGGGGGAGATTGATTAAATCCTAAATCAGGGAGGTTTCGAATGGCCTTGACCTTTCCCAGCTGTGGCAGGGGAGGCTGATCAAAGGCTGTTAAAAGATAAACACTCTAATAAAGAAAGGTTATGTTGCAGAAGAGCTGGATGTGTCCTTCTGCCACCCCCTGCACCCTCTGGCGTGGCACAAGCAGGAGGCACCAGCAAGCCCCGAGGCTGGCCCGGCTCCCTCTGCCCCGTGCCTGTCGGCGTAAGCCCCTCTCCCTCCTGCTAACGCCGCTGAGCTGCCAGGGAAGAATCGCTGCTGGAGCTGCTTCTGCCCGGTGCCCATCTGGGGCTGCAGGCTTGGCCGCCATGTGCCCCGTGATGGTGCTTTGAGGGGACGTCAACGGGTGGGAGAGGATGGGGTGGTGCTGGATGCACCCTCCGAAGGCTGTGCTGGGGATGGATGCCAGCAGTCACGGGTGGGGGGGTGCTTCCAGCAGGCTGCCATGTGCTGATCATTAAGGTGCAGCCTCTGGTTGTTAATGAGCACGGCTGATCGCGCTGCACGGGCACAGCTCACCACGCCAACGGCGGGGCCCTGCTCGTGAGCTGCTGGGTGGCAGGAAGGGACGCTCTCAGGGCACCCCAATCCAAAGACCAGGAGCTGCCTTTATGCAGCCCAGCGGGAAGCCCTACCCGGGCGTCACCTTGCCGCGGGGGGCCGTGCCGTGCCGTGCCCGGGGGTGGCAGTGGCAGTGC